AGGACCAGGGACGGCCCTAGCAAAAAAAAACAAATCAAAGAAATCCAAAAAAAAACTGTGTTATGCACAAAAATAAACTGAACAACTTTTGCGTCACGGTCACATCGAATATTTAAAATAAAAAATAAAGTTAAAACTTTAAAAAATAGTTTTTACTAAGTTTTTTTATTTTTTTAATTTATTTTTGGCTCGGCCAGGCAAGTGCCCCGGGGCCGCTCTGGTAGCCTTTTTTTTTTCTGAATTTTTTTTTGTGACTTCTCTATGATTGAAGTCATTTCGCTAAGCCGAAACAAAATTTGAAATCGCCAAAGATGGCAGTGTCGAAACGTGCTCGCCCAGTAATTCTTTTTTTTTTTTTTTTCACTTTTTGTTTTCACTTTATTTCGGGGCCCAAAAAAAACTATTATTTTATGTGAAACTTTTTTACGCACGTTCGGGCGTTCGGCCCGTCCCGAACGCCGGTTACCCTGAGTGCATCACTAATTTGCACATGACGCATGGCGCACATGCACCGCAAGTATGTTCCGAATTAAATTGACCTCGGATTAATTGAATTTATTCAGTGCCAAAGAATTGGGATAGTCTGGATACTCCTGATCGGTATTAGTGGAATCTATGACCAACATGGGTGTGAGTGCGAGCGCGAGTGGGTTGTGTGTGGTGTGTGGGAGAGTGTTGGCCATAGCTACTGCTGCTACTGGATGAGGGGTGGGGGGCGATGAGAAAGGGAGGCGCAGCTACTGGCAGGTCTCGGTCTTTGAGTTAGCCAGACCCCCACTGGCGGCCCCAACCCTATACCCTAAACATTAGGGGCAAGGGGCAACATGAAATCTCCCCTTCACAGTGAGAGGAAACTATGCTTGCAGGGGTCGCCTCTAGATAGCCTTAGGAGCTGTGTAGCACACCGAACATGTTCTGAGGTTTTCCGAACGTCCGAACATGTTCGGGTGTTCGGCCGAACGCCACCCAAACGTGTTCGGCCGAACACCACCCAAATGTGTTCGGCCGAACATATTCAAAAAAAAAAAAAAAAAAAAACCTTTTTGTTTTTTGTTTTTGATTTTTAACTCGAGTTTGGTTACGAATTTGATCATACCTCCAAGGCAAAAGTTGTTTGTATTATTATTTTACATAACATATATTTTTTTCAGATTTTTTGGTGAAACGTTTTTTTTCTTTTTTTTTTATAAATATTTTTATGTTCGCGTTCAGAGAGTTTCGGCGCTCGTTCGCATTCGGTCCCGAACGTTTGGGTTCGGTCACCGAACCCGAACACGATGCTACACAGCTTAGGAGTAGGGAGTGAAAGGCATATTGTCACAAGAATATCAGAGCGCAAATGCGAAAGAAAGAAAAAAAGAAAGAAAGACAAGAAAAAATGAGTTCACTTTTTTATCTTCTTCCTTATAACTCCCCCTGTTCAGAACATCTTGCGTATATTAGGCTAGCAGCCGGGCTGCTCGGGTCACCCTATTTTTCCTGGCGGCCCGGCCGTGCAAGGACCAGGGAAGGTCCCAAAAAAAAATAGAAAATCCAAAAAATCCGCAAACAAACTATGTTATGCAGAAAAATAAACTGAACAACTTTTGCCTGGGTGTCACATTGAAATTCTTTACCAAATTTAAAATAAAAATTTTAATTGTTTTTTTTTTTTTTTTTTTTGGCCCGGCTGGGCAACTGGACCCGGGACACTATGGTAGCCTAGTATGTATATTCTGTTTGTGACGATATATTGCTTGCTTGTGATGGGGTGTGAACCGACAGTCTGTAGAGTTTTCCATCTGGTGTGGGTGAGTGATAGTCTGCTTTGACTTTTGCCACAGGTACCTTGAGGTGCAATCAGACTCAACTTATTCACACTTTTCATGCACGTGAACACCAAAGCAACGAACTGGCGCCATGCGCCCACACAGAACTCAGAGATATGGCTCCCAAGTAACAGTTCGCGTCCACTGGCTATGGCGACTGTGCGCCTCAMACAACTCACTGTTCACACTCTGGATCACCCTGGATATCCCACACRYGACACTCAACACACACACRCAGTACATACACACTTYCCCTAAGCTACAGCTATGKCGGCTATGGCCGCCGCTACCCTACTGCTATGGCTACGGTATGTCACTCTCGCCCACTTCGTCTTCGGGCCCTCTGCAGACCTCCTCGCACAAGCTGCTGAGGCAGCGCTTCCKCATGGCTTCCGCAGGAATGAATGAATGGYTGGGCGCAGCCTCTTGATTTATACTTCTGTGCTGCGTTGGTCTGCCCTGTACMCCTGGCCCATMGTGCACACAGTCCCAGACGGTACTTGCTGGACTGGACCGGACTGGGTGGACTGGGACTGCTGACTGTACTAKGTGGACTACCACCACTWGACCACTTGCCTCTGCTGAACRCAGGCTCACTCCGAAAGGCCACTTCTAGAAACCTCTAACTTGGCCTTTCGGTACTGTAGCAGCTACGACCTTGCCCTTTCAGGTAAGTAGCAGCTACGACCTTGACCCTTCAGGCAGTCTACAGCTACGACCTCTAACTGTCTAGACTCCTACCCTACAGGTCTACAGTTCGAATTCCCTCTACCCTGTGACCTACRGAAAACTACCTACCASTGGCGGTACTACAGGTASCAGGTTCAAATCTACGGATTGACACCGGTACTGTACACAGGTAAGATGGGGAACTAGGGATCGAGCCCTGGGATCTGCATCAGCTACTGCGAACTGGTGAATACGTTTCACTCCCGCCGGCCTAAATTCGAGGTCCTCCGAGAAAATTTCAGTCCAAGGCAGGACCTTTACCTCTCTGTTGTCTCTCGTAGGCTCGCACTATATCGGGAGCTGTCTCTAGAAGTTCAGATCTCGTAAACCAGCGGTCGTCTTCCGGTTCTTGATAGCTAAAATGAACCTTGTACTGTTTCTGCGGACGACCTCTACCTCCAGTTCTGAAAACATCTTCAGCCACTATACCATCGATGTCATGTCTTCCATCCATATCCGGTGGGATCATCGACATACGGGATGGAAACTGATCACTTGTTTGACAAGGTAACAACTTCGATGCATGGAAAACTGGGTAAGTGTGGAGGTGTGCTGGGAGTTCTATGGTATAGGACGGTCCATCTTCGCCGCCCTTGACTTCTAGAATGGGCCACGTTCCTCTATTTGTGGGCAGTAACTTTTGCGAGATGTTCTCCTCATGTGCAAACTCCTTAGAACTGACCCAGACTAAGTCGCCTACTTGAAACTGTGAAGGGCGACGATGTTTGTTCGCTTGCTCTATCATCCTATGCTGGGCCTTCCTGAGGTTCTCTACGACAGTAGCTAGTTCTCTCTCGTGCTGTACAGCGAACTCCCTGGTCCCGGGCGGTAATCTGTGAATCTGATCCCGGTTGAGTCCCTCAAACGGTCTACGCGGTCTAAAGGACTTGTGCAGTTCGTTGGGAGTGCGGCAGGTGGATAAATGCACGCTATTATTTTACGCAGTAGCTACTTTAGGCAACATCTCGTCCCAGTTAATCTGATCTGGCCTAATGTACATGCGCAGAACTTGTTGTTGGACCTTGTTCATTTGCTCTGTCTAACCGTTAGTCTCTGGATGACGGTCGGACGACATCAACAACTTAGATCCATATACTCCCATGAGTTCTTGCCAGTTCTGGCTAGTAAAGCGACTATCCCTATCGCTAACTATTGACAATGGGATACCATTCTCACTCGCCCAATAGTAAAAAAATCTCTGTATGACTAAATCAGTACGTGCCTCTGAAGGCAAAGGAACAAAAACTGCGTTCTTACTAAAACGGTCAACTATGACCATGACTTGGCTCTTGCCATGCCTGCTCTTGACTTGAGTGTCCATGAAGTCTATGGACACTGAGTCTCCCGGCTGATCCGGAATGGGCAAGGGTCTGAGAAGACCTAACGGGGCACGCGTAGAAGTCTTGTTACGCTGGCAGACTTTACAACTGCGAACATACTCTACGCAGTCATTTTTCATTCCTGGCCAGGTATACGCACGCATCAAATTGGCTAAAGTCTTTGACCAACCAAAATGGCCCTCTGTGTCGTGGCATTCTCCCAGAATCAGACTACGGATCTCTTCACTACTGGGAATGCACAGGCGGTCAAATACATTAGTCTTCTCAAAAAGCAACCCTTCAGTAGTGCGGTAGTTCGGCTCGGTCTCAGGGGCCTCCTTGACCTTCTTGAGGAGGTCACTGTAGATAGGGTCCTGTGCATAGGCTTCTCTAATCTTTTGCTGCAGGTCCTTCCCTATGTCTAAGTAATGCACTATTGCCCCAAAGTAATCAGCTCTCCTACTCAGCGCATCCGCAACTACGTTATAGTTCCCCTTTACTGGCTTGAGCTCAAAGTCGTACTGATCTATCTCTGTGGCCCACCTAGTAAGCTTAGGTGTCATCTTGGCCTGCGTCTTTAACCATCTTAACGTCTCATGGTCTGAGTAGACTTTGAAGTGTCTCCCAAGCAAGTAGTGCTTCCAGTGTTCTAAGGCTTGCCTGAGAGCGTAGAGTTCCCTCTCGTAGGTAGATGTCGCGACCTTCTCTGAAGGCATTCTGGCGGACATGAACTCTACGGGTCTATAACCATTGCCATCGTCTTGTTGTAACACGACACCTATGTCGTACTGGCTAGCGTCCGTAGTGACGACAAAGGGCAAGGACGAATCGACAACCTGAAGGACTGGATACTCTATCAACGCCTGTTTTAACTTCTTCATAGCAGACGTGCAGTCCTTATTCCACCTCCAGATGGTCTCCTTTCTGAGCAATCTGCGAAGGGGCGCAGCGATGGTGGAGAAGTTCCTCACGAACTTCCTGTAGTAGTTCGCCAGGCCTAAGAACGACCGCTGTTCTGTCAACGTCCGCGGTGTTGGCCAATCTCTAATCGCTGCAATTTTACTATCTTCCGGCTTGACGCCGTCTCCGTCTAAGACGTGGCCTAAATACAAAACTTGGGTCTTCGCCCAATCGCACTTCTTTGCATTGATCTTTAAGTTAGCTTCCCTCAGCTTCTCTAAGACCTGCCTGAGATGACCCTGATGCTCTTCAAGGGTCTTGCTAAACACTAAAATGTCATCTAAGTAAACTACGACGAATCTTTCTAACCATGGCCTTAACAAATCATTCATACACCGCTGAAAAGTTGCTGGCGCATTGGTTAGTCCAAAGGGCATCACTATAAACTCATAATGCCCGTACCTAGTCCGGAAGGCTGTCTTATACTGATCATCAGGATGTACCTCTATCTGATGATATCCGGACTTTAAGTCTATCTTAGAGAAATACTTTGCCCCCTGCACTCGATCTAAGAGATCGTCTACCCTAGGCAGTGGCTCAGCATTCTTCACTGTAATAGCATTCAGACCCCTATAGTCTATGCACATCCTCAGCTCTCCCTCTTTCTTAGGAACAAAAAGAACAGGTGCTCCAAACGGAGAGGAACTAGGCCTAATCCAACCCTTTTCAAGGAGCTCGTCTAACTGCTTGCGAAGCTCYTCTAACTCCCGTGGGGACATYCTATACACMGCACCCTTAGGAGTTCTACTGCCAGGCTCTATCTCGATACGGTGCTGGATGGGCCGCGGCACCGTGCCTGTCGGCGGCTCAGTTAAATCCTTAAACTCTTCCAGCAGCTTGGCAATCACAGGGTCCACTGGCTTTTCTTCCATAGGCTCAGTCACTGGCCTAACATAGGCAACAAAGACCTGTTCCTCCAATTTCTCTTTCTTTACTAATCTGGCGAATGCAGGGGCACTAAGGCAGCGATGTGCCAAGGGATTCTCTACTCCTGACACATGGAACAGGCGGACAATTTTGGCCTCGCCTGAAGAACTAGGGAGCCTACACTCGTGCTCCTTCAAATGGAGCGTGGCCCCGACTGCCTCTCCCCAATCCATTCCCATGACAATATCAAATGGGAGGCTGTCTTCTACGAGGAGTGTCAGGGAGTCGAGAACCTTCTCCACTTTCCCATCCTTCTCTAGGCGAAAATACGCTTGGACTCCCTCTACATACTCCTCTACAACCATAGTACGATTGTCTGCGAGGATACTAACTATAGGGTCTGCTAGCTTTTGGACTTTAAGTCCCAGCTTCAACTTCTGCAGCGCTTTCTTACTAATATAACTGCGGGTGGCCCCTGAGTCTACTAGGGCCCCTACTCTGCCTCTAAAAATCTATGTATCTACTAATATAAGCTGCCCTTTATTCTCCTTTCTCATCTTGGCCCAGGCGGGCATCCTCTCCTTCAACTCTTCGGCCACGCCTGTGAGGGAGGTGTCTAGAGAGACTCTAACACAAGCAGTCTCTGGACAGCCATCGAGACACCGACCTGCAACCTCTGCCATAGGCACATGTGGTGTGGGAGTCTCCTGCCGGCTAGCGTTGTGTTCCCCGCATGGCCTAATGGCAGGGGCAGTTGCTACCCCTACCGGCGGCTGCCTTTTAGCCCTTGAGCAGCCGTTCGAGTCTCTCGATACTTAGGACAGTATTTGATGATGTGGCCCGGGTCACTGCAGAAAATGCACTGGCCCCGGTCCAATCGTTGTTGCCATAAAGTCTAGTCCAGACCCAAAGCTTCCCAAGGCTTACCCTGCGGCAGCCGCGGGTGCCATCCTCCTACCCTATAGGGAGACCTATTCCTAGGACGGTTTTGCGGGGGACCTTGACCCCTGCCTCCTGCTTGGCGGTTTCCTCCTCTGTCGCCAACCCCCTGATCGCCCTGAAACCGGCTCCCTGAGGCCCGGCCCCCTTGGCCCTGGCCTCGTCCTCCTTGCGGCCTCCCTCCAGCCGCGACAGCAGCGTAAGTCTTCCCCTGGCCCACACCGCTGTCCTCCTCCTCTAACCCCCACTCAATCCGATCGTAAGGGATCTCATCCACACTACCCTCATCTAAAGTTAGGACAAGGCTATCCTTAGTCTTCACCTGCCCAGAGATAGTGCGGCCCTTCCATTGTTTTCCCTTATCCAAATCTTTGTGCCAGAAGGTGGAAATTGACACAGATTTTGCCTCAAAGGCCACCACTTCACGTCTAAGGGAATAGTAAGTGGTGGCAGGGTCTTCGCTCTTCGCGAAGAAGTGCCCGCGGAAAGCTTTGGGCATCGCTCTATAGAAGAGGGCGACCAACTGGGTGTCTGTAACCCCATCTTCAGGGACAGCTACCAATTTGTCCATTGTGCTCTTGAGTGCCCTGACACTCTTCCACGTACGGGCATGGATCGTCTGGAGCTTGTCTGAGGCCTTAACACTGCGAGCGACATCAGCAAATCGCTCGCGCAGCAGCTTCAAGAATTCAGTGAGGGACGTGAACGAGGAGTACGCAACTAGATCGTCACTACAGTTGGCAGCGCGAACTAGGGACCTTGCAAAGCTGGCGGCCTCATCCCTAAGCGCGTGGATCGCAATTAGGACCTGCTGATCCGGGGAGACCTGTTGCAGATGCACATAGGTCTTGACATTGGCCTCCCAATTGTCAAAGTTTTCTTCCCGTTTTCCACTGTAGGAATCAGGGAATTTGACTTTGACCGGCTCCCGACGAGGAGGACGTGCTTCCTCCTCCTTGGGAGCTGCCGCTTTAATGCCTTCAATGGCGCCGGCACAGAACCGCTCAGTCTTCTCGAGGCGATGACCCACCTCGGTGCCTATAGCGCCTACCAACTCACGAGCAAAGTCACGGAATCCCAACTTTATTGAACGCACAGCTATGTGTTGACTTCTACTAAAGTCATATTGCTCCGCCTGAATTCGTGCCAGGCGTGCAACGTTTCGGGCTATGACTCGTATTTGGTTTGGGAGTTCGGTCTGGGTGGCTAACTGCTCTTCTATCTTCTATACCTCCTCCAATTCTTCTGCCGCCTCCGTTGCCGCGTCTACTCTCCTCTTCTTCTCCCTCATCACCGCCAATTTCCACTCCATCCTCTTCTCATCTTCCAACGCCTGTCGCTTGATGACATCTCCTTCGGCTGCCCACACTTTCATAGCGGCTTCCTGGTCATCCTTGGGTATATACATCGCCACCTCTTCTTCTTCGCCCAGGGACAAGTTGGCAACCCACTCTGAAATTTGTTTCTCCATCTCATCATCCTTGTTGCCACTGTACTGCCCCCTCTTTCTTTGCAGTGGCGTTTCATCTTCCTCCTCTTCCTCGTCCACCTCTTTCAACTTCTCCTCTTCTTCCTTCTTTAACCTCTCCTTCTCTCTGGCCATCTCTTCTTCTATCTTTTTTAACTTGGCCGCCTGCTCCTCCTGTAGGGCCGTCTTCTTGGCCTCTTTCTTCTCCTTTCTTTCCCTCAGGACGACGGCCATCTTCTCCTCCTCCTCCTTCGTGTACGGCTTGGTGGAGGCACCACCCCGGGTATCTACTCTACACGTAAAGGTGTGCCAGAACCCCAGAGGAAAGAGGAGGCGCCAGAGGGTCCCCCAGAGGGAGAACCCTACAAGCAACCCATACATCGGATAGTCATCCATCGTGGTGTCAGGTGCACGACAAAAGTCCCACTCCTCACCACTTAGACCTACCCGGACACTAACCCACTGACTGACTCTCTAAGACCACTACTCAAAACTACTCTTAAGGCTGTCATTACTGAACCAACAGCTGATCAGGAGGCATTTAAGGAGATCCCCCAAACTCCGCAAGAATTCTTTAACGTCGCAGTCAGGACGACGTGATCAGCGTGGTTCTCCTTGGCGATTTCAGCCCACAACTCAGCCGTTCCGGCCTACTGTGCCACACCGAGCAGCCCGCCGGTCTGTACCGGTCCTTGGAGGGGTTCGTATCCCTCGGGACAATCGAGTCGTCAGACACAGATCATCAGCCTTACTAGGTCCGGTAGGGGAGTGGTTCAACCAGGCCTCAACACTTAAAGACG